TCGGCGGAACCTCGTCCGGGTTCCTTTCTGCTCAAAAGCAGAGAGTTCGACCATCAAGTCGAAAAGATCGGCTTGATTCAGTATCTAGCCACCCCCCACGAGGGTTGCATGCGACACAAGGTCATTTTATCGTGGGTTTCCTGAGCCCGTAGGCTCAGCCAAAAATATGCCCGTATAACTCGTAAAAACGAGATCAGGGTAGGTCATTTCACCCCGAACGAGATTCTGCCCTTCGGCGGAACCTCGTCCGGGTTCCTTTCTGCTCAAAAGCAGAGAGTTCGACCATCAAGTCGAAAAGATCGGCTTGATTCAGTATCTAGCCACCCCCCACGAGGGTTGCATGCGACACAAGGTCATTTTTATCGTGGGTTTCCTGAGCCCGTAGGCTCAGCCAAAAAATATGCCCGTATAACTCGTAAAAACGAGATAGGGTAGGTCATTTCACCCCGAACGAGATTCTGCCCTTCGGCGGAACCTCGTCCGGGTTCCTTTCTGCTCAAAAGCAGAGAGTTCGACCATCAAGTCGAAAAGATCGGCTTGATTCAGTATCTAGCCACCCCCCCACGAGGGTTGCATGCGACACAAGGTCATTTTTATCGTGGGTTTCCTGAGCCCGTAGGCTCAGCCAAAAATATGCCCGTATAACTCGTAAAAACGAGATCAGGGTAGGTCATTCACCCCGAACGAGATTCTGCCCTTCGGCGGAACCTCGTCCGGGTTCCTTTCTGCTCAAAAGCAGAGAGTTCGACCGTCAAGTCGAGAAGATCGGCTTGATTCAGTATCTAGCCACCCCCCACGAGGGGTTGCATGCGACACAAGGTCATTTTTATCGTGGGTTTCCTGAGCCCGTAGGCTCAGCCAAAAATATGCCCGTATGACTCGTAAAACGAGATCAGGGTAGGTCATTCACCCCGAACGAGATTCTGCCCTTCGGCGGAACCTCGTCCGGGTTCCTTTCTGCTCAAAAGCAGAGTTCGACCATCAAGTCGAAAAGATCGGCTTGATTCAGTATCTAGCCACCCCCCACGAGGGTTGCATGCGACACAAGGTCATTTTTATCGTGGGTTTCCCGAGCCCGTAGGCTCAGCCAAAAAAATATGCCCGTATGACTCGTAAAAACGAGATCAGGGTGAGTCATTCACCCCGAACGAGATTCCGCCCTTCGGCGGAACCTCGTCCGGGTTCCTTTCTGCTCAAAGCAGAGAGTTCGACCATCAAGTCGAAAAGATCGGCTTGATTCAGTATCTAGCCACCCCCACGAGGGTTGCATGCGACACAAGGTCATTTTTATCGTGGGTTTCCTGAGCCCGTAGGCTCAGCCAAAAATATGCCCGTATAACTCGTAAAAACGAGATCAGGGTAGGTCATTCACCCCGAACGAGATTCTGCCCTTCGGCGGAACCTCGTCCGGGTTCCTTTCTGCTGAAAAGCAGAGAGTTCGACCGTCAAGTCGAAAAAGATCGGCTTGATTCAGTATCTAGCCACCCCCCACGAGGGTTGCATGCGACACAAGGTCATTTTTATCGTGGGTTTCCCGAGCCCGTAGGCTCAGCCAAAAATATGCCCGTATGACTCGTAAAAACGAGATCAGGGTAGGTCATTCACCCCGAACGAGATTCTGCCCTTCGGCGGAACCTCGTCCGGGTTCCTTTCGCTGAAAAGCAGAGAGTTCGACCGTCAAGTCGAAAAGATCGGCTTGATTCAGTATCTAGCCACCCCCCCCCGAGGGTTGCATGCGACACAAGGTCATTTTTTATCGTGGGTTTCCCTGAGCCCGTAGGCTCAGCCAAAAAATATGCCCGTATGACTCGTAAAAACGAGATCAGGGTAGGTCTTTCACCCCGAACGAGATTCTGCCCTTCGGCGGAACCTCGTCCGGGTTCCTTTTTTGCTCAAAAGCAGAGAGTTCGACCATCAAGTCGAAAAGATCGGCTTGATTCACCCTCTCTCTTGAGATGCGTAGTATACATAGTGTTAGGAAGAGTTCATTCTGTAGTTATAGGTAAGGACCCATGACACTTTTATATATATATATATATATATATATATATATATATATATATATATATATATATAGAGAGAGAGAGAGAGAGAGAGAGAGAGGAGGCAGTGGAGTAATGAATAGCAGCTTGGATTGAGGAATTTGAATTCAATTTCAATTGAATCCATTGCATTCACTTACTTGCTAATACTATTGGGAAAGGTATGAATCTTTTCTCTCTCTCCCCAGCTATGGCTAAATAACAGTACAGACGGGGCCAATAGCCTTGGGTGGCAACTTGTCTAGGAGAAGGACAACTCTGAATTCAAAACCTGCAGAGGGACATTTGAGCACCTTGTGACACGTTGTGCACCAGATGTCTGTTTTCGGCTCTTTAAAAAGTGGCGATGATTCTGCACAAAGCCATCACCACTATAATCGAATCATATGTGTCTGGCTGTTGGTTCCTAGGAACTGTATTGCTTGACCCTCATACATCGAATACAACGGGAGAGTCCTGCATATAGATATATTCAAGCATATATTGTTAAATTTAACAGACAACGAATGACTATTATGTCTGATCATGAGCCGTTCTAAACTTCGTATATTCGCTTTATCTTCGGGAGAAGAAAAAAAACTGTCCAATATTTGGATATTTTTAAAAAATATGCTGTTCCTCGATCTAAGCTTTCGGACACATCAGCCATCTTGAGATTGGTTATATGGATATTACAACAGAGATGTTCACCATCAAAGATGACTTCCGGCTATGTTTACATAGATGCTTGCTATGCGACGATAATGGTCGCGGAATAGCAGACGCTGGTCGTTAATTCGTGATGCGTGATGGTGAGTATCTTTGTTGAAATGTCCCTATAACCGCTCTGATGATGGCTCATGTTAGCCGAAAGCTTAGATCAAGGAACAGCTTAATAAAAAAATATCCAAACGTTCGACAATTTTTGTCTTTATTTTCGCCCGAAATTTAAGCAATTATACGAAGCTTAGAACGACTCTTGATCAAACATAATAGACATACGTTGTTTGTTATATTTAATAATATACGTTTGAATAATGATCTGCTGACCTAATACATTATATATATATATATATATATATATATATATATATATATATATTTCCCAAGAGGATAGAATCCAAGTAGAACTCAATGTCCAGGACAGAGTAAGAATATAATATAAAAGGCTCAAACACTAATATTCCATGGTTATAATTTATTACATTGGAATATGTGTTTTGGGGAATATAAATAGTAGGTCCTTACTAGATTAAATATTCTTTAATTTTTATGTTTATGTTAAATTTGTAACCTGTAGGTGATATTACTTGCTTTGTCAAATTTTCTTGATTACATATCAGTTCTCTTATAAATGCCATTCGTTTTTAGTTTGCTCCCCCAAATTTTCTTCCTCTCTCCCATCTTCTGGATTTTAAGTTTAGATCAGATCGTTTTTTATTGTGCGTAGTGTCACCACAAATGTATCCACACATTTCCGGAACCTGTTTTTTAATTTTAATTTAGGTCAGAGTTTCGGTAGCGAATTATGCATCGAAAAATAATTCATATTTATCTATATATCACTCATTTAAACCGTTATTTAACTCCTCTCTTTAAAACTTCTCTCTGTTAAATTTTAGTCCCCACCTTCACCTTTAGGCCTTCCTGTTCTTCTTTCTTCTATTACATCCTCTCTCTAGAGCTTTCATACATTTCCCTCTCACACTTGTTTCCCACTCCCACACATACACTCTCACTGAAATTTTATTTTTTATACAATTATACAAATTGAAAAAGAAATCGGAAAATATAACTCCATATTTTCCGATTTCTTTTTCAATTTGTAGGTCTGATGAATTGGATCGTGATTACGATTCCAATATAATAAATTATAACCATGGAATTCGGCTTACATAAGCCATTATCGCACCGCAGCTCATGTACATTTACGTACACTTTCAGCGTCTTATATGCACGAGTTTGTCGTCGCTTCCATGTAAACAGAAACAGACTATCATCACTTTTTTGTCCGTGTATTGCTTAATATATTGTAATGTAATTGTCATTTTTGGTAATGGCTTAAGCCAAAAGCTTAGATTGGATTAAAAAATATGTATCAATATTGTGATTTTCTTTCTTCGTTTAATGATAATGCTATTAAGCTTATCAGGCGATATGAAAAGAATTTACATAAAATAAATCGACAACACTTGTGTATATTATTTAATGAAACATGCATCAATATATATATATATATATATATATATATATATATATATATGTGTGTGTGTGTGTGTGTGTGTGTGTGTGTATTACGATACTGGCAAGCCATTTAAAGTCGTTGATCTGTGTTTAAACGCATTTCTTCAATATGACATTAATCAATCATTTGGTATTATGAGAAATTCATTTCAGGTGTCAAGAAAGCTTGATTGGTGTGACTCTTATTTCAGCACAGGTTGATTCTATTTTGTGTGTGTCTGAAAAGAAAAAAAGGTCTCGTTTTAACGAATTTGTTGTTTTTTTTATTTATATATCTTTAGTTAACAGAACATTGGAGACGTCCATTGTGAAGAAGTCCGTCCACGGTTTCTGTGTGAATTTAACCGATCAGTCCCTAATGATGAGGGAAGATCATTTTAAAAATGTATTTCTGAAAGATTGACGCAGTCAGACGCTCGTCTTCCTCACAACGTCATCAACTGGGGATAGTGTCTTGACAAAGGAAAATAAACAAAGCAATTTCTCCATTGAATTGAAACTGGCGAATTGTATTTCCGCTATCCATATCCTTCTTCGCTGTCTTCTTCTTCTTTTTTTTTTTTTTTGGTGTTTGTGTGGGTGGGGAGGATGGGGGGGGGATTGTAAATTAAGATTCAGACTGCGATAAGTGTGGAGTAAACCTTGACCTCTCCAAAAACTGGAAGTAGGACATGATCAAATCTGAGTCAACTTGCGTGTAAAGTCATTCGATTCTGCCTGGGGGCAGGGTCGAACCTTTGACAGTCGTTTAAATAAGAGCAAGGAGAAAAGAAAAGAAGGGGCTGCGAAAAAGACATTCTGTTATAAAGAAAGGCTAAACAAATTGGAGGGAAGTGAAAAGAAATTGCTACGGAGGTAATTGAACTGTATGATGAGGAAATCAGCATTTTGTACAATAAATATTTCCCAAACCAAATCTCCTCTTTCGTAAATGCACCGGGGAATTAATCACATACAGTGAACATTATACAGTGAAAATATCAGATCAACATTCAGCTAAGTAGGGAATTATTCACCATCAGAGAATGATATGAACATAGATAGATACATATTCGATACATAATGAATAGACATAGATAGATAGATAGATAGATAGATAGATAGATAGATAGATAGATAGATAGATAGATCGGAACAGACTAAGATAGATAGATAAATAAATAGATAGATAGATCAGAACAGACTAAGATAGATAGATAGATAGATAGATCGGAAGAGACTAAGTCAGATAGATCGGAACATACTAAAATAGATAGATAGATAAGAACAGACAGACAGAGAGATAGATAGATAGGAACAGACTGAGGTGGATAGATAGATAGATAGATAGGAAAAGACTGAGATAGATAGATCAGAACCGACTAAATTAGATAGATAGATCTGACAATGATAGACGGAAACAGAATGAGATAGCAGGAGACAAAAAGAAAAGAGGCATAAATAATCTTATATATACAGGTAGATGGAAGATATTTATAGGACTGGAAAACACACACACACATATATATTAAAGACATTTTTATGTTTAACGTTCCTTTTTTATAGACACAAGTATTTAAGTAAATGCTCTGTTTATAATAAACAGTATTAAATAACATTTACCGGCCTAAATGTCCGAGAAATTTTCATAGAAAATATTCGTCCTTTGACAGGATTCGAACCTGCATCCTATACGGAACCGTCATTTACGCTGACGTGCCTAATCTCTCGGCCACAAAGGAGCGTTCGGTAGGCAAGGTCGAATTTACTGCTTATAAACTTCAATCTTCCATGAATCTCGTACATTCATAACTGCACTGGCGTATCAAATGTAAACAAATGACGTCATGTATTAAGAAATGGACAAAGTCGGACAATTTATTTATTAAAGACATTTTTATGTTTAACGTTCTTTAACAGAGCATTTACTTAAATACTTGTATCTATAAAAAAGAACGTTAAACATAAAAATGTCTTTAATAAATAAATTTTCGGACTTTGTCCATTTCTTAATATATATATATATATATATATATATTCGGGTCTTAAGATTGAGTTCAATCATAAAACAGACTGTCGCCACTTGTTGATCTCTATTTTTATATTTACGTACACTCTATCAATGATATTGAGCACTTTTAGCCATAATTATACCATATCTTTTATTTTTATCATCGTCTTATATAACTGGACACTGAGCTCAACACCGAACGACGACTGTTTGCTTCATGCTTGATCTTAAGGCCATTACCCATACATATAGCATACCTTAAATATATTTTTTTTATACATATATCGCTATATATATATATATATATATATATATATATATATATATATAGCGATTTTCCAAGAGTAACTTAGATGTGGCACAAGGCCGAATCAGTGGGGCACCCAGTGAGGAATTAACTCACTACTCGGTCGTAATTGTTCTAGCAAGACAAGCTTGCTAACCATTACACCGCCTCAGTGCCCCTCTCTCTCCATATATATATATATATATATATATATATATATATATATATATATATATATATATAGGTGCAAATATATAGGTAATATATATATTATATATATATATAGGTAAAATATCCGAAGTTCTTTAGTATTTTTGTTTTTATTTTAAAAAAAGTGTGCTCAATACAAAGTACAGCCAAAATATAATTATTTATCTAAAAATATGGTTCCCTCGCTACATAAGAGTTCTCATGTTTAAAAAACAGGACCCAAAAACCTTCAATATAATTATAAAAATTAAATTGAATTAAATTTCGCTTGAGGGTGAAACAGGGCTTGATACTTTAATTCAATTTAATTTTAATAATTATATTGAAGTTTTAAACTCTTATGTAGCGAAGGAATAATATTTTAAAAAATATATATATATATATATATATATATATATATATATATAGAGAGAGAGAGATTTTATGACTTAAACATCCGTTATTTTTATAGCTATGTCGAACCTGTTATTTTCAACCTAAGAAAAGGCACCTATAAACCAAAGTAAGAAATGATACAGGACTCTACAGGGACGATGGCCTCATAATCTTAAGAAACTATAACAAACAAAACACAGACAAAACTAGAAAAGCAATAATAAAGATTTTTAAAATTAATGGATTCGACATAGATATAAAAACTAACCTAAACGAAGTAGATTTTCTAGATGTTACCTTCAACCTAAGAAAAGGCACATATAAACCATATAGAAAACCCAATGATAAACCACTCGATATACACACATCTTCCAACCACCCGCCTTCTATAATCAAACAGATACCAAAATCGATTAACCGCAGGCTTTCCGACAATTCCTCCAATGATCCCATATTTAAGAAAGCTAAGAAAGACTATGAAACAGCCCTAAAAGATAGAGGATTCTCAGCAACACTCACATACTCACCACAGAACACAAAAAAAGGCCAACAGGAAAAGAAATATCATATGGTTCAACCCACCGTACAGCAAAAACGTAGGAAAAATATCCTCCAAACTCTTACACAAACACTTCCCGGAATCAAGCACCCTACACAAGATATTCAACAAAAACACAGTAAAAATCATCTACAGCTGCACCGAGAACATGGTACAAATAATAAAAAAGCACAACAGGAAAATTATCAACAAACCACACGAACACATTAAACCCACGTACAACTGCAGAATAAAGAACGAATGTCCCTTAAACGGTAATTGTTTACAAAACAACGTAATAGACCAAGCCACGATAAAATCACCAGATAATGAAGAAAAAGTATACATAGGAGTAACTGAAGGACCCTGGAAACAAAGAAATTATACACACAAAACATCTTTCGCAAATAGTAAATATGCGAACAGCACAATGCTTTCTAAGTATATCTGGGAAATTAAAAACAAAACGCACATCACAGCAAAAATATCTTGGAAAATAAGAAAAAGATCATCAGCCTACAACAACCAATCAAAAACTTGCAAACTTTGCTTGGAGGAAAAAATAGCTATCATTACTTTCCCAGACCAAAATAAATTATTAAATAAAAGATCCGAGCTCATCTCAAAATGCAGACATGAAAACAAATTTTTACTACGTTACTTAAAAGTCGAAAACTGAAAAAATAAAATAAAATAAAAATAAACAAAATAACAATAAAATAAGACAAATTAACCCAAACAAATTACCAAATCACACTTGTTAGAATAGGCGAAATAGAATAATAAAAAAACCCTCAAACTAATGAACCCAAATAAATAAAGTAAATAATAAACAAATTAGCAAACCATTATGACCAAAATATTAGTTAGACTAAAAATCAAACCAAAAATCGGACGAAAAAAATAGCTATAACTGTTATATAACAATAAAAAATACTACGTTACTTAAAAATCGAAAAGAGAAAATATACAGTATAAATAATAACAAGTAAAATAAATTGACCTAAATTCATCCAAATAAATAAATAAACTAATCCCGATAAAGTAACCGTTAGAAAAAACAAATAAAGATAATCAATCCAAATAAATACATGAAGTAATAAACAAATTAAAAACTGTTCCCGCCAAAATAATAGAATAAACTACAACAATCAACCCCAAAATTGAATAAATAGCTTTAATTATCTTCCCAAATCAAAACAAAACTATTAAATAAGCGATATAAACAATTTTTTACTACGTTAATAAAAACACCGATTAAAAAAATAAAAAATAAATAAATATATAAGATAAGAAATAAAAAAAATAAATAAATAAAAAACAAGCAAAATAATTTAACCCAAATAAATAAATAAACAAATAAACGACTTCCGGTAAAATGACCACCAAAATAGACTACCCAAAATGCACCACTGACCCGTATATATATAAATAGCCGAGAAAAATAACAGCACTCGTTACCTGACGATTGCATCTAGCATGAAACAGACAGTCGCCTCTAAGTGTTGACTTCAATGTTCACTTGTATATTTACACACGCTCTATCTCTGATATTGAGCACTTAATCACATAAATATAGCACATCTTAAGACTATATTTCTTCATATATATATATATATATATGAATGAAATGGACAAAGTTCGACAATTATTTTAAGACATTTTTCTATGTTTATACGTTCTTTTTATAGATACAAATATTTAAGTAAATGTTCTGTTTATAATAAACAGTATTAACAACATTTTCCGTCCTGAATGTCCGAGAAATTTTCATAGAAAATATGCGTCGTCCGACAGGAATCGAACCTGTATCCTATACGGAACCGTTGTATAGCCTGGCGAGCTTTTGCCGATTTCGCCACAGAGGAGTGTTTTGGTTAGCAAGATCGATTTTACTGTTTTTAAACTACAATTCTCCATGATTTTCTCTCGTACATTCATATCTGCTCGATGTGTATCCAAATGTAAACAAATGATGTCACACATTATGAAATGACCAGATATTTATTTTAAGTCAGATATTTATTTTAAGACATTTTTTATGTTTATACATTCTTTTTATACATACAAATATTTAAGCAAATGCTCTGTTTATAATAAACATACACATTTTCAGACACACTGAGTTATATATTAATATTTTTTTGTTTTATTATTTCAATTATATTCCTACATCCTGGGTATGGCGATAAACTGCATCCGACTCCTGTGTAAGACGATAAACTACATCCAGCAGCAAGGCCTATGATCAGGAGGTTTTGAGGGGCGTGGAACCACCTCTTAATTGCTGGTGTTCCCAGGTCCATCCTGACTCGGAGTAGTAGCACCTGTCAGGGTCCCATCTATGGGCAAATAGTTGACCCCACAACATGACCCAAAACTCTGAAAAATAGATTTTAATACCAGAAATACTTTAAAAAAATTAGTATCAGCAATAAATATTTGAAAAAAGAAAATATTAACAGAAATAAAAATCTTGTCAGCATTAAATAACCCATTGAGGTTAATATGCCATAAAACAAAACAAACTATACATTTAAAAAAACACAAAAAAACAGCTATACATTTTTGAAAAAAAAAATGAAATTTTGTCGGCATTAAATAACCCATTGTGGTTGATATGCCGTAAAACAAAAAAAAACAAACAAACCAATCAATTAGATTCCTAGACTAATTTCGGCCAGCATGGCCATCATCAGGAAAAATAAATTCTGCTTTTTCGTAGTAGTGAACTACAGAAATGAATGACTAGATGAAGAAAATGAACTTTACCTGCAGTTTTCATTTGTTTTTTTTTTATCGTTAATTTTGGTCAGTCCTTGTGTTAGTCCAACGGCCTCTTTTAAGTTTTTTTTTTTTTTAAGATAGAGGCAGTATAAATTCATGCTACTCTGAATTCCCTTGGTCACAGATGTCACCAAAATCTACGTCACTCTCGCTGCTTATATTCAAGACCCCATTC